GTGATTTATCACAGTGATCGCCGAATCACGATCACGGTCGTGATTTAACTTCATTCACAACCGTGATTGCGATTTTTCTATCTTGGGTGAATTTGCTCACTGCGATCGTAAGTCCTTGATCTTTAAACAGAAAAACGTATTCAATATGATTTTACGATAATTACATTACTATTCGTGTTTGTGAACATCAGTAGAAAAAACAAGAAATTCTAAAAAAATGATTTGCTACATAGGTAACATGTAGTTATAATTTATAATCATTAATTTATTCATTATTCTTCCTTGTTTCTACTTATTCTTTTTGTTTTGATGTCGTTAATATAAAATATACAGATTATGTGTTGCATGTAAAGAACTGTTAGGTTTCTCCACCAATCAGAAACGATCACGAGAAATCACGAATCACTGTAAAAAATCACCGTGATTCGGAACGAACGTGATCGAATTACGAGTGATTCACAAGTAGCAGTTCACGCCATCTCTAGTACCTTGTATAAGAAAACATTAAACGCGTGCGCATGCAGCGATTATTCACTACTAAAAAATCATTTTAAAGATATTTAAGGATCTACTGAATGTCTTACTAAAGAAATGAAATAAATTGAAAAGATCTCACGCGAATGAAAATTATTTGACTTGGACAAAGATTAAGATCATCTTACTGTTAAAACATTAGTGTCTTTCTAGGGGTCAATGAGCTTTTACTTTTTGACCCGAGAAACTGCAGGCCGCATAACTTTTTTCGTCAGTGCTTTTTTGTACGTTACAAACGTCCTTCTGTATGGTTGTGTTTCGCATTGTTGTCCTTTCAATTAACACAAGGTAATAAGAATCGAATGTATGCATATTCCGACAGACTGCACTGATTAGCAGCATCAACCAGCATATCCTGTAAACGTTGCCGATTTAGAATTACCTACACGGTGTATTAAATTGTGTCTATATACATACGTGTCTATAAAAAGATCACAGATATTTTATCGTGAATTGTCCTGAATTTTTATAGTAATATATCAGACATATGTATATAAACTTGTGTGTGTTTCAATGTGCTTGTAAAAGTATATGTTCAGTGAATGTAACATACTTGTTATTGCCCCTCCAAATCTTTTTAAAAGTGATTACAACAATTAATACTCAAACATTGTGCAATGTTTTAAGTACAAAACTATTCGTAGTTGTTCAATGTACATATGAATCTTTATATTGTTTCATAGTAATTGTGTGTAATAACTTTTCAGCAGTGTGCATTGAGAAATGGCAGTAGATCTGGATCCAAATGATCCTGAAACACGACTATCACAATTTCTTTATGTTGGAAAAGAATATCCAGATTATCATCCAGGCAATTGGTTTAATCATAATTATTTTTTTGCTAAAAATGTTCCATCCATAGAAGAATTGGCTGAAGATTTGGAGAAGCAATTGTTACCAGTTCAAATAATCACAAAGGTAAAATTTTATGGTGACTGATCAAAGTATTTAATATTTATTATTATTTGTTTGTAGGCGTTTGAAAGCAATCTTGTTCCAAATCCAGAGACACTGGTATTTGCTCTTGCTGTTTGCTGTAGGCAAATGAAAAGTGAGAGTTTACGACATGCAGCATATGCAGCTGTGAATAAAATCTGTGCATTGCCACAATATTTCATTTTGTTTATAAAATTCACTTCCAAAATAAGCAAGCAAAAACAACTGGATCCATCTGGTAGTTCAAAACATGGATGGGGTCAAGGTTTAAGAAAAGCTACAAATAACTGGTATTTATCCAAGCCTCCAATGGAACTAGCTAAATGTGTCACAAGGTACAAAGGCAGATATGGTTGGAAGCATAAAGATATTATAAAGTTGTCACACCCTGTACCCAATAACCCTGGTACTTATTACATTCAAATGTAATCAGCAGACAAATAATCACGTATTTTTATTAAACAGTCTACTGTTAAACAGGAGTAGAAGTGGTCCTCAAGTATGTAGTGCATGGTTTAGAAGAAATTGAAAAAATATATGGAGAAGATTCCCCATTTACAGAAATAGTACAATACATTAAAAATGTTGAAGACTTTAAACACTGCACAGATGAAGTTCGAGCAGCGGGTCTTTTGGAAATTCATAAATTAACATTGGATCATGTACCTGGACATTTGCTAAAGTCTAAAGAAGTAAAGTACACAGATAGAATAATTTTACCTTCACAATTTTTAAGTGTATGTATACAATCTATAAGTGTAATATAATTTTTAGGTTTGGAATGCATTGATACCGTCAATGAATTTAAAATTACTTTTGACTAATCTACAAAGAATTCATAATCTTGAATTACTGAAACCAAACTCATTGACAGTTTCTAAAGTGATAGATCAAATCACTAACGAAGAAAATATTACCAGAGACAAGGTTCACCCAGCTTTAGTATTAGTTACAATAAGAGACTACGAAAACTCTGGAAAGTAGGTAATAAGTGATAAGAAAAACAATAAGTAATCAGTACGATCCATTAATATACAATCCTTTTCAAGGTCACTGACTTATGAGAAACGGAAAATCAAAGAGCAGTTTATTAAATCTTTACCAGCTCCACCTAAACCAAATTCTAAAATTATCGATGCTCTTTATAAAATGTTAAATCTTTCATTTCAAGTGAGTATGAATAGTCATTTCACATTATTCTTTTTATTTCGCCGATTTATAATATTCTATATTCATAACAGCACATCCAACCAACGGGTTTACGTTATATGGTAACAATTAAAATGAATAAAGGGATGTTAGAAACACACACCTGGCGCTCTGGTAATGTCCTTGGTGCAGAAGCAGGATGCATGATTGCACTTGCACTTCTTCGCAGTGAGGAGAATGTCACCGTTGCAACATTTAAAAACGTTGGAGTTCATATTGTCAAGATTGATAAAACTGCATCATTCAACCAAGCTATGAGGAAATTACAGCAGACGCCTGTTGGAAATGTGAATTTGGGTAAACCAATGTCGTGGGCTGCACATCACAATAATGAATATGACGTATTCATTAACGTCGTGGATCAAGTATTCGAAAAATCTGATAATTCCAAAGAATCTCTTCAGGCATACAGATTACAACTTAAACTTCCAAATACAAAGTGAGTTTTCTAAATTACGTTTTCAGTCAGGACCGCTTGACAGTGTTTTATTTTTTATTAATTTCCAGATTAATAAATTGTGCTGTATGTTCTTCTTCAAGTTACCGCAAGGAAAAACGAGACAATAGTATCTTAACAGTTAATGGTTTCGATGCCAGCGTTCCAGTGATTATACAAGCTTTCGCGAAATCACTCTTTTAATTGCTGCATGTATAGCAATTATTTCTTTGGCAACCAGTACTAGCTGATCAATTATTACGCTTTTAAAACGATAATAACTCGATTCACATCATTTTTTATGACATCGTCAATTAGTAAATATTTTAACTATTCAAACTATTACAATCAGGCCAGTAAAAAATTAGTTTACAATAATCTTTGAATGTTGGTAATTTGATACCTATCGAATAATCAGTTAACAACGTTTTATAAGATACTCTAATCCAGAGCTAAATTGAGTCTCTCACTTTCATATGTGTCGAACCTCTATTATTAAAATGAACGAGACTATCATTAAACAATTATATGGAAATTTTCAAATGTTTAAGGATGAAAATTAATTCTTAATCAGTGCCGAGAAAATTGTTTAGCCTAGAATGTTTTTTTCCGTGTTATGATCAAGCGACATTATACATTCAATTTTAGTACAAAATCATAAACATAAGAAATTACTAATGTCCTCATTCTTTTTTTTTTACTTATGTTCAGTGTATCGTGAGAAAGAATATTTCGGCACTAATTATTCACTACTAATTTCTATTATTATAATTATCTCATATTGATACTAACACATCAATGTTATTCAATAATATTTACTGCATGTTTTTAGCGTTTAGGGTGAGCTGTGTAACATTTGATAGTAATTTCATTTGTGTTCTATGAAGTGGTCCAATGAAGTTTGTAAATATTTATTTAAACGAATGGCATACCAATCGAACAAACCAATAACTGAAGAGTAAATGAATGTGATACGTCTGTGATCGATCATTTGATTAGATAAAGGAAAACGTTTGAAATGACTATGGACCACTTGGTATCATTTACAAATAGATACACGTTTACTGATTTGACGCTTTCCATTTTATAAGGTCAGTCGCGCAGCTAAAAAAAAAAATTAGAATAAGACTGCATATTAGATACGCATAAGTACCTAAGGGAACCTAAGGTGCATTTTTAACTAATGGTAAAACGTACGTTTACTTTAATACTATTGCCTGCTTAATTCCACTGGTTGGCGGTAAAGCTTTCAGTAATATCTTTAAGAAGGTACATAGATCTAATGTGATTTTTAAGATGATACATTTCTGGAACTGGTGCGCTTCTGGCAATTCGAATAAGAATTTAAAGACGAAAAAAAAAACGAGTAAAATGTTGAAAAATTTCCCACTGTGATATGCATTTAGCCCCAAAGAATATAGACTTACATTAGTATAATTTTACTGTTATATTTCATATTTGCCATATCCAAAGTGAATACGACAAATACTAAATACATTACTGAACTAATACTGTGATACAAACTACATTGTTATTGTTCAAACTAGGTGAAAGGATAAGTAAATGTGGCCAGGGGCGCACCAAGTGTCTGTTTCATTTATTGACTAGTATCTATACCTATTAGCGGAACAAATTTCTGTTTTCTTGTTAGAAAAAAACGTGCGACAGTATCCAGAGATAACTTTAATTCTTTTTCGATCCTTGGATTACCATCACGAAAAAACCTTTGGTTTCGAAAGCGAGAAGTATGCTCTCCCTTAAGACACAAATCGCTAAAAAGTAACAGCGTGGATGGAATTCTCAGGTCTGACAAATCTTTAAATTAAGGGCTTAATGTTCACGTGTTCTTTGCAGCCTGCTCGGTAATTCATGGATCGATAGCGATCGTATATTACTAATCTTAATATAATCATACACGCATCTAGATGAATACGTACATATAGAGTATAGAGTGTAGTGGCATTTTAATTTCCCATAGAGAAAAAAGAAAATTCAAAACGAATCACATTTCATAATATGAAATATATTAAGCGTTACATATGCGCGTTGCTAAAAGACTATAGTCGGTGGAAACGATATGGTGCGAATTTCGTAAGATTTAATCAAATAACAAAAGAATGTATGATAAGTACTTTTCAACAATTCTTACACTTCGGATCCTGTAATTTCTTTATACTGTATAACTTTCACCGACTATACCAGGGGTTACAATTCTTCGAATGTAATTTCACCATGTAATCTTTAATCTTAGTATGCGCGACGCTTTGTAAAGAAATTCTATGAACGATAAGTTATCGAAAGTATGTAATAGTATTTTTTAAAGAAATTTTTCCTCATACCTTATACATGTGTAACGAATGACTAGATTGTGTGAAACAAAACGAAGAAGATGGTAAAATGATTTTTTTCGAGGGCTATTTTTAGAGTCGCGCATCTAGTTACTATCTTTACTCATTAAGGGTAATAGAATCTACGCTACATCTGTATTTGTAGCTTATTGTATTCACTGATATCGCATATAGTAGCTTAATAATTAGGATGTCCCATTTGTCATGACTATTTTGATCATTTCCTTGTTCGAAAACTTGATTTAATATTTCATTAGAATATTTGTTTCCTTTAAGAGGGTAACTGTCGTTCATGGTCGTATTTTTCTTTAATTTTTGAGCTCTCAAGGTCATCAATGGGACACCCATATATGCTATTACCGAACGATCGAAAAGGAACCAATTTATTTTTAATGCTTTTAACGAACGTACATAATTTTAAATTATGTATTGCCACTGTCATGTTTTAGCTACCAATTTGTCAATACTTTAATACGATAATTTTTCATTGACATAACAACGGTACTAAATCTGTCAATCTGGTGGCGAAAAAAGTTCAGTATTCGAAGTATATATTTATACATGTATTGCTTTTAACATCCGGAAAGTTTGTAAAGCGTTTGGAATTTCATCGAAATCAATAGAAATTTCTATTCGATCGTAATATGTAAGAATACGTCCAAATATGTTAAAAAAGAAAAAATAAAAAAAAGGATACGGAATGGCCGGGAAGACACAGAGAGGCAACCGAAGCAAAATCTGTACTGCTACGGTTCCCTCATCAAAGTCCACTGATTTCAGGTTGCGGTAATCTGTCGAATTGAAATGGTAATATACAATATGTTGAATGTGTTCATACTAGTTAAAAAGATTAGAGAAAGGTAAAACAAGACTACCGTGAGAAGATGAAAAATGGAAAGAAAAAAATTCCGCATCAAGCGTAGTACGTGACGTAAATAAGGATTAAGTTATACCATCGACACAAAGTATCGACACTTCGTCTTCTTGATCGCGCGTTGCAGTTTTGTAATGCGATCTAAAGAAAAGATTAGCGTCCTAATTATGAAGGATTCTTTAGTTTCTGGAGCAAAGGTGTTTGACGTCGTTCAAGAATCGTAGATCCTTTCACTTACCGATGCGTATTCGAGGGGAATCGTCCATTGATTATCGGATTATGAAAAGATGTTCCTTAGGATTATGGGGGATTCAATTTTGGGGAAAGAAAACTTGTAAGTCGCATTATTAGTGCATTGCCGTTTCAACATCCACGAAAAGAATGCTCAACGTCCGTCTATTATAAATGCTCGAAGCAATGCCGAAATGAAAGAAGAGACTTATAGTAAATTTTAATGTACAAACGAGTAACCAAATATCTGGACCTAATTTTCAGTATCAGTAGAAATACGTAACGGGGTTGCACTAATTATGCTCGCAAAAGAAATGACATTTCGAAATTGACCCGATTAGAATGCCTACACTTCCGGCCTTACTCTTTTATGATTCGACAAAGAAAGTACTCGACACACGAGAACTAAAACACAATAAAGTAAAAGAGATATCTCGTCGATCCTTTTGCTTAGTTGCGTTTGTAAATCAAGTCTAGTATTAATGACATTACTGATTCTGTTTCAAAAGATGTTACTTTTGTAAACTGTCGATATAAAAAATATGCGGCACCAAAAGCGATGATTCATGCAAAAGATTCACAGCAATACGAATGCCGATATAGAAAGTAACTGTTAACGGGATTCCGATGTTATTTTTGTACCATGACTAAAGATGTATTTAGTGATTAAATCACTTTGGACGAACAGAATATCAGTAAGTTATACAAAAAGAAAAGAAAAAAAAAATAATACTTTATATTACTATTATTGCGTCTGTTGATATTATATTTCGATAAAATAAGTACAATAGACAACTAAAGGTATGAAGAATTAATCCTCTCTATAAATTTTGAACTGTTTTTTGTTACACGATCAAACTGTATCTACAAATAAAATTTGTTTCAAATCCACTGCAAGAATATACTTATTTTCTTTCGTAAACATTTAATGATTTCCAGACAAGTGGAATCGTTTTCTCACTAAATGCAATAAATGCAGTTGAACGATGTTTATGATTTACTGAAAAAATGTTTATTTTGGTGTGACTGATATATATGACATCCACTCATACAGACTACATTGTACATAGTACGATATAGTTTTCCCACAGGCAGTAATAGGCACAAGTAACGTCGCCATTGCACAAACAATCATTCTAATTCACGCGCACGTTGCATATCCTGGAACGCGAGTTACACAACTGTTTATTCGATAATATATGTATATATATATATTTATATATATATATATATATGTGTGTGTGTAATGGAACATACAAAACAATTAAGTAAAATAAATTAACGCGTATAGTCTTAATCGAAAATTAGAGGAAGTTATTCTCAACAGTAAAAGATGTTTCCATTAAGTGTACCTTCCTTTTTTTTACGGAGAAGATCAAGACCGTTATGTTACGTGGCAAAATACATTACAGAGCCCCTACACGGTGTGAACATCACAACCGTGTACCGTTTAGTTCTGACGCAACTGAATGTATTATAACGAACGTTCGTCGATCAGTCTTTTTCTTATACTCGACGTATCAACGACGTGGTTGTATCTCTGCAGCATTCGCATAAGAAACTGTGAAAATTCAGTCTAAATTAGGACGAACGTATACACTGATGAATTTATGGTTAAAGTTCATCCTTTAGATCATCCTCCTCTCCACCGGTTGGTGGAACACCACCGCCTGCACCTTGATACAGTTTAGCAATTATAGGCTGAACAATATCGCTAAGCTCTTTCTTCTGTCTTTTGTATTCTTCCGGATCGGTGTCTTGGTTATCTTCCAACCATTTGATCTTCTCATCGATAGCTTCTTCCATCTTGGTCTTATCCGAATCGCTGACTTTCGAGCCAAGTTTTTCTTTGTCGGCCAATTGATTCTTCAGGGCATAAGCATACGATTCGAGTTCGTTACGCGCCTCTACTCGTTCCTTTAATTTCTTATCATCGGCCGCGAATTTCTCGGCGTCTTTGATCATCCTCTCGATATCATCAGGAGTAAGTCTATTTTGATCATTGGTGATGACGATCTTTTCACGGTTGCCTGTTCCTTTATCTTCAGCGGATACTTGAAGAATACCGTTAGCATCGATCTCGAATGTTACCTCAATCTGTGGTATTCCTCGGGGTGCCGGCGGGATTCCGGTCAGATCGAATTTACCAAGTAAATGATTGTCTTTCGTCATCGGACGTTCACCTTCGTATACTTGAATAGTGACTGTGTGCTGGTTATCCGTTGCAGTAGAAAAGATTTGAGATTTCTTGGTCGGAATTACAGTATTTCTACAAGCATAAGGAAAATATATATTGTTATGTACAAATGTTTTCAATGAAACCAGCGCGAACAGAGAACATATTCTTACCTCGGAATAAGTTTAGTCATTACACCTCCAACAGTTTCAATACCCATAGTAAGAGGATTAACATCCAAAAGCACAATGGCATCCGTATCTTGCTCTCCAGAGAGTACACCTGCCTGAACTGCAGCACCATAAGCAACAGCTTCATCAGGATTAATTCCCCGAGATGGTTCTTTGCCACCAAAAAATTCCTTGACTAATTGTTGAACTTTGGGAATTCTAGTAGATCCGCCAACAAGCACAATTTCATCCACATCCTTCTTGTTCATGTCAGAGTCCTCTAAAACTTTCTGTACAGGCTTCAAAGTACTTCGGAAAAGATCCATGTTCAACTCTTCAAATTTGGCACGCGTCAAAGTTTCTGAAAAGTCTTCACCTTCGAAGAACGATTCAATTTCGATCCTCACCTGTAAAAAAATATCAACACATACATTAGTTTTGTTCGTTCCAAATAAAGCAATATCAGAGAGATGTTTATACATACTTGGTGGCTAACACTGAGTGCTCTCTTAGCTTTTTCAACTTCACGACGCAGTTTCTGCAATGCTCTGCTGTCTTTACGAATGTCCTTGCCCTTCTTCTTTTTGTATAGCTTGATGAAATGATCCATTACACGTTGATCAAAATCTTCACCACCCAAGTGAGTATCTCCATTAGTTGCCACAACTTCAAACACTCCATTGTCAATTGTGAGCAAACTCACATCGAAAGTACCACCACCCAAATCAAAGACCAAAACATTCTTTTCTCCATCCTTTTTGTCTAAGCCGTAAGCAATTGCAGCAGCTGTTGGTTCGTTAATAATTCTCATGACTACAAGACCAGAAATAGTTCCTGCATCCTTAGTAGCCTAAACAAAAGTAACAGATAGATCAATATATGTCCTTAGATTGAATCTATAAAATTCTGATTGTTAAACGTTTGTACTTATTGCTTACTTGTCTTTGAGCATCATTGAAGTAAGCTGGTACTGTGACAACAGCATGAGTAACTTTTTTCCCTAAGTATGCCTCTGCAGTTTCCTTCATTTTACCAAGAACCATAGCAGAGATTTCTTCAGGTGTAAAGATTTTCTCTTCACCACTGACTAATACTCTTATATGTGGTTTGCTGTTCTTTTCAATTACTTTAAATGGGAAGAACTTGATATCATGTTGTACAGTAACATCAGACCATTCTCTACCAATTAACCGTTTGGCATCAAAAACAGTATTTTCCGGATTTGTGGTCAACTGATTCTTTGCAGCATCTCCAATTAAACGTTCACCATCAGCAGTGAATGCCACATAAGAAGGTGTGATTCTGTTTCCTTGATCATTAGCTATGATTTCTGCTCTTCCATTCTTATAAACACCAACACTAAAACAATCAAATATTTGATAAAAAATTTTTCTGCGACCAAGAGTCTTAAAAAAGTCTTTGTTAAATGTTATTTTGCATAAAATAGTATTTTAATTTTTATTTACCAAGAGTATGTTGTGCCCAAATCAATTCCAATAACAGTTCCAATATCTTCTTTTCCCTTTTCATCCTTGGCATAAACCAGGGCTATTAAGCCCAATAAAATTAGTGCTCCTCCCTTCATTCTTCTTTATGTAAAGATAATCCTATAAAATTAAAAATCAAGAATAAATGTTATGTATGACATAAATAACTATACTATATTCTATAAAATACTTGAGTTTTACAAACATTGTAAATAAAATAAAAATAAAATCCATAGAAGATTCTAGTACTAGTATATAAAACCACAAAAGTTTGCAAAAACTGTATAAAAATATTTAACAATATAACAGGATTAGTTCCACAGGAACGAACGGGACAAATAAGAATAATGATTTGAACATAAATGATCGGTTGACGACATAATACAACATTTCGACAAACAGGTATTTAAGTACGTATGGAAACGTACGAAATAAGTTGACGATATTTTGCAAATATTATCAGAAAACTATGCAACCAATAGAAGAATTACATGTAGCACTTTTTATGAAAGTAAAGAAAGGAAAAATTGAACTTGAATAGAACGTATTTTGAACATATTACACCCTTTTTAGCGAGACGTGGCAGATAACTAAGTACCTATTGTCGACGCTCGATGAAATCTTAAGTATGATCTACTGTAATTTAATACTATTAAGTAAACTTAATAAATGCTTGTTCTATTGAATACATACCAGATCAAGAATCGTATGTGCCCTGAGTTTCTTTTCTTCTGAATAAAAAATGTTTCACTTTAACGCAACTCTAACGTACAACAGGAATAATCAGAAGTGACTGCTACAAACCGTTCTCAGTGCCGGGATATTAACGAAAAGATTTCGTCGTGGCCTCTGTTGATTGGTTACAAAGGGTCCGTTCTAATGGAATACTAGACGCTGATTGGTCAATGTGTTTACAGTTGGCTACTATTGATAGGCCCACGTCACAACGGTATCGTATTCTGGAAATTTCGAGTACATTTACCATTGGAACGAACTGATGCTGGGAAAAGGGAAAAGAGCTCACGTAACACACAATAATATTTGTGATACTTTGTCGACATTCACAAAAAAACATTTATCCACCTATAAAAAGAACACTATCGCGTACATTAGCTTTTCAACAAAATTATAATTGTAATTGTCATGCTTCTTACATCATTTAATTTCAATTAAGGATGACTTTTTCATATGTATATACTTAAACAATTAATTCGTTAAAATTGTACTAAATCGACAAGAAAAAAAATCATTGAATTTATCCATTGTTTCTATCAAGTTGAACAAAAATTGATTTTTGTTTGATTCAACAAGTGTCCATTAGAACCCTAGCTTTCATAGTTCTGATGCAACAGAATTGAACAGAATCTAGTGGGACTTCGTTTGAGCTTCGATTAACAGGATAGTTTTTAGATTTAGTGCTTTTTGTCTTAGTACACTTTTAGTCACCTTTTTAAATATAAAATTTTCAAATCTAACTCTTGTACAATTGTTTAGAGTTTAGAGAATATAATAAGAATGGATTCATAGTCATAGTGTATTTATTTAAAATGTCAAACACCCTGATATATGTACATGTTAAGTATGTTTTACATGGAACACCTTAATACTTGCTTTTTGGTTGCAACATATCTAAAATTAATGGTGTAAAATATGTTATAATACAATCAGCCCCTGCTCTTCTCATAGATAGAAGAACTTCATTTAACACGTTCTTTAAATTGATTGCACCATTCTGAGCCCCATGATAAAGCATAGCATATTCTCCTGAAACCTGATAAACAAACATTGGATATTCCGGATGTGAATCCTTTGTGTGCCTAACAACATCCAAATACGCTAGACCTGGTTTCACCATAAGCATATCAGCTCCTTCAGAAACATCTCTAGCCTTAAAAATATATGTAAACACAAGTAAATTTAATTCATTGAAAACATAAATGAATTTATAAAAAGTAAAAAATAAAATACTAACAGCAGCTCTGGCAGCTAATCCATTACTTCCTGGAGGTAATTGATAACATTTTCTATCCCCAAATTGAGGTGTTGATTGTGATGCATCTCTGAAAGGGCCATAGAAGCCTGATGCAAATTTGACAGCATAAGATAAAACTGCAACTTTGTTTGATAATCCAGCTGCTGCCAATCGTTGTTTTATTACACCTATTCTTCCATCCATCATGTCAGATGGGGCCACAATTTGTGCTCCTGTTTTATATAGTTTTATGAATGGTAAATTAATAATATTTAACCATTTCACTGCTGAAGGTACAAATCCATTTCCTCAAGAAGTTGGTACTCATTTGCAAAGAGATTTAAAAATTCATAGTAGAAATAATTAGTGACCATACATGTAAACACTCCTCATCATGCACCTGCAGCAGCGAAAGGATCAGTGTTATTATATATTCATTTACAGAAAAAGGCAATCTCACCAGCCTTTGCATATGCAAGGGCAATTTCTGAAATTCTTGTAATACTAGCTTTATTATTGATGGTTCCATCCTCATTTATAATTCCACAGTGTCCATGAACTGTGTAAGGACATAAACAAACATCACATGCTATCAATAAATCTGGAAACCATTGTCTTATTAAAGGCACAGCTTGAACAATTGGATTTTGTGCACTATCTGCATTACTTCCAACATGATCCTATTGGGAATGCATTTTTAAATAATCCTACATGTATTACTATTAACATTTTTAGATAATCCCACGTCTTATATAGGATTTACCTTCTTCAAGTGTTTTGATACTCCAAACAATAATATTGACTGTAATCCTTTTGATACCAATGGTTGCAACATTTTATGTAATTGATTAACTCCATATCTATAAACACCTGGCATACTAGCAATTGGATCTTTAGCATCTTCCTCATCTCTGAAAAATAAAGAATCTGTGTTATCTTGAAAACAATGAAGTGTTTTTAACTATTTCTATTGTTTATAGCTAAAAGTCTTAATAATCTTTGCTCAAACATTCATATGTAATATTTTTTAATCAATTTTTTTTAAAATCAAATCACTATAATGTCTTTTTATTAATTTCATTTAGTATTATTTTGTAATGAAACTCTAATAAAGTCTGATTATATACACATAGATTTGAATATACTGAATGTATGCAGGGATACTGTAAACATAATTCAAACGGTAGGTTATAAATTAGACTTACAAAATAAAAATTGGATACATAAGATTATTAACAGTAATCTCAACATTTGGTGATTGCCATTGCCGCAGTAAAGGATGAAAAATGCCACTGTGAAGAGTATGTTTTGCGACAACCTCTGCCATTTTCCGAAATTTTCTTAAATCGTACTACCTGTTCGTTCTATTTTCGCTATTATATAAAGATGTACTGTATACATTTACAAAGTTCTCTTTCAATAATAAATAGTATTCTTAAAACATCATTATACTTTATTGATCTTACATTCTAATTACCCATAACGAATTTCAACAATTAAGAGATTAAAATCGAACAGATAAAGTTCCATTGTACGATTTTATTACCTGTATTCCAATTGAAACAAACAAGAACTTTGTTTTAGTTCTTTATGGCTTATAGAAAAGAAGGCGTCTACACGATATATCTAATTTTTTATCAGTACGAAACAGATACGTATCTTTTTTGAAGGCTTGTCTACGTAATTGTAATTGTATATCAGGATGATACTGCAAAAAAATGAGAACCTATAGGTATGTTGTATTAGAAAATCGCAATGAATCATCATTAACAAATTCTCCGCGTTTGAATTGGTTTAAATATCTGATAAAACGATTACGTTAATAATTTAGATTTTAAATATTTACGACCCGGTCAACGATTTATAAATAATAAATATTACTTCATAATATCGCGCCATTGCATATGGCCGAAGTGCGCATTCTAGATAGTATAGAGTTCAGTGGTAATAACTAATAACAGTATTAACAGTAATAAGTAATCGATTTATGCGTTTCTTAAAAATGTCACGAAGAGTAAATAATGATCGACAAGAAAATGAAGTGTTAGCACTCTCCAATATCTACAGTTCTAAAGAATTTTCTTATATCAAACGTACAACAATACAGTGTTATTATAACATCTTTCCTGAAGTTCGAGATGGCTTACTAAAGCTTCAAAATGTCAATGAAAATAACGAAACCAATTGTTCCACTTCTAAATGTCTCATTAAATATATACCTCCAATAAGAATGTACATAGAACTTCCAGATGAATATCCTTTTACAAATCCACCCAAATATTCTATTACAGTATCATGGCTCTCTCCTTGGAGAATATCTTTTATATGCCAAAAATTAGATGAAATGTGGCTAATTAACAAAGAACAAGAAATTTTATATCAATGGTTTGAGTTTTTAAGAAACGATCTTCTTGATTTTCTTCAAATTCAAAACATATTAGACATTTCATTTCTGTATTTTATATATTACAATGTATCAAGTTATTTTAATTCAAGTTTAATGTTTCAAAATGATGGAAGAGCTATATTCAGTATAATATTTTCTGATCCAGTCCAATTGTTAATGAATTACCATAATCAGCAATGTCAAATTGTATTTGAACAAAATTATTATACGTGCATAATATGTTTTGAACTACATTCTGGAAAAACATGCATAAAACTTGAAAATTGTGGTCATATTTATTGTGGACAATGTATGCAGACATTCATTACTCTAAAACTGAATGAAAATGCTATAAATGATATGATATGCCCTGTTTTAAATTGCAATTGTGTTATTACATACAATGAAATCAAGAGTTTATGTTCAGGTTTATTTTCCAAATACGAAGACTCATTGTTACATATAACATTACGTAGTATGAAAAATGTAATTTATTGTCCACGAATTTTATGTCAATGTCCAGTTATAAAATATACTGATGACACATTCGCTATATGTTATAAATGTGATTATACTTTTTGTAGTTATTGTTATAAGGTGCGTATTTATATTTTCTTGTCAAACAGATTGAGATCAATTCTTTTCAATGCATTGTGTATTAGGGTTATCATGGAGCTACACCATGTGACATGACATCACATAGTATGAAACAGTTAATTAACAAATATGAAAGTAGTAATAAATTTCAAAGACAATTCTTAGCAAAGAAGTATGGTAGGAAACAGATACAGATAGTTGTAGAGAAACATTTAACAGAGGAGTATTTAAAAGTATTCTTCTATTTGCAAATATGTGAGACAACATTAGGCATCATCTCATAATAATTTTATTCACAGAGAAATGCTAAACCTTGTCCAAATTGTAACACTATGATTGAAAAAATGGATGGGTGTAATAAACTGACATGCATTCACTGCAAAGCTTATATCTGCTGGTTGTGTGGAGTACTGATCACTACAAGAAATGCATATGATCACTTTTCATCATTAGAGAGTGGATGTTATAAACGCTTATTTGACTAATAAGAAGATGCCAGTATTTCTCTGTAATATGAAAATAATTACAAAGTATTATGAGTATTAGTTATGTTTGTTACCAATTCAAAATAGGTAATACATTAATAATCAGTTCATTTTTTGTATTTTTATTTTTATACAACAATATTGTTTGTGTTATTGATTGTTTTATACAAGATGTATATCTAAAATAAAATTTTCTATACATTAACACCTGATAGATTGCTATTCAATGTATTGGAGATTTATGTATATGGTATGGCTTATGCATCTCTAGGCACATGAACTTCAACAGTAGCTTCTGTTACTAGTTGTTCTGTGACAACAGAAACTGTTGATTCTGGTCCTTGATTTATTATATTATCTAGAAATTGTTACACATACTATGAAATTTCTAAACGAACGTGTTAAAAAGGTATTTGGATTCTTACCTCCTGCACATTCTTCATCACAATTGAGTAACTTCTGTCTTTTATGAAATCTTGCCAAATTCAGTTCTATTAGTTTGGGACCAAATATCCAATATCCAATGCACCCTCCCAATATAATAGCAATATTAACATATACATTATATGTCATAATAGCCAACATTAAAATATAGCCAAAAAGTGTGTGTATAAACCAATGAAACACTTGAAGACACCACATGGACCAACTCATACTAAGAAAATAATACTTTCTATTACAAATGCAATAGTTGTTTTTTTTTTGTTTAAAGAGCAAAAAAGAATATCATATACCATTGTAATGAGAACTGTTTTCCAATAGACCTCGAAGATAATTTGGATAGCAATGACGAATTTTCTGATGTTCCAGCTCTTTTTTCTTGCATACGAATTACATTATTTTGCTGTATTTTAATCTGTAAAATCTTCATACCCTCGTATAATATTGCAAGTGCAGTTAAGCCCACACAGGTACAAATAAAGCTAGGGGTTGTGACTACATTATATCCTGGTAACAGAAAGCTACCTAAGTTGTCTCCAAACCAAAACCACATATGCATCTATAAACAGATAGACTCAATATTAAATTAATGAAACATTTGTAGAAATAAACAGTTCACTTTATGCGTACCGTAATCAATGTTAATCTTTTGCAACATACAGCTATGTTAAAGATAATCACTCAAACTGATAAGAAATGAATGTATTATTCGTTTTCCACATTCTGCACTTCACCTAGCCTTACCCAATTATTCATTAATGACTAAACTGTACATAATTTACAGTTCAGTGACAGTGTACTGAGATTACATCTTAAACTTCGTAAGCATCTGTACTTTAGGCTTTATTAATTTACTCTTGTGTTTATTCCTATTACCTTGCAATAGTTTTTTAAACATAACAATAAAATCAAGTAAGACCTGATATCATATTTTGGAAAAACCATGCAAACGAAACAAACAATGACACATCAGGAAACTTAACACAACACCACATATTTATGCGAGTACCATAATCGTACTGTGATCAAATGTGGACCGTGCAATTGCATGCTTAAAAAAACAAAAAGTTGCCTCTGCTTAATTTGTCAGTATCGCATTGTTTGAAGTTGCTAGGAAGTCGCATCATCACGTGACTGCAAAGTGTAATGTGCAAATCCGTTTAAAATTTTCATGAACCCGTAACCAATTCTCGTGCAAGCCGAATGAAAATTAAATAGTGAAATCGTTACAACGTTACAACGTTTGTCTCCGTCATTTCTAACGAAACGTACGGGAAAATAAATTATAAAAAGATTCACAGCCGAAACAGTGCATACAGAGCGCATCGATCGTTCATTGGTCAGTACAGCGGACAAACGATCGTTTATGAAAACTATCCCGTAAGCGAGGCGAAAGATCTTGGTCGAATCGATGACTGTTCGTCATTCCAAAAATTGTAACGATCGTAATCGAAAGGAGGTTTTATCTGGTCGAGTGGATTAAATAAAAGTATCGTGCCATTTACAAGAAAGGGCCGTAAGGTGGCGGATACGGTGAAGCACGACAGCGCTACCTATATCTTTGGGACAAGCAAGCGTGGCTAATCAAAGCACTAAAAGGTAAGCCGTAAGGGCTGTTTATTTTTGGGTTTTTGTTCGTCCTGCGAGGCTTTTTCTCGAGTAATGCGCTTCCTGGCTGTGTCGGACTGTACATCGTGCTTGAAAATCAATTGACGAAGCAGCAATGACCACGGAAACGTAGGTGAATTCGCCGGACAGATCGTAACGTCGAGCATCTTGCCTAGTAAAGTGAAAACTCCATTTGCTCTTCCCCCTCACTCTGTACACCCCCCCCCCCCCCGTGTCGTTCTTCTCGTTGCCGCCTTTCTAACCAATTGCCAGGCGTGCACCTTAGCGCCGACGTTGAATATATGTCTCTGCATAATACACCTAGAGATATTCGAGAACTTTTTTGCGCACGTATCATCACGCATTTTACACACGCGCGACCTGCGCCCTTTCAACGCGGCGGTCCTCTCTTTTAACAAAGAGGAAGTTTTCTACCGTTGTTACTTCGTCCGCAGGAAAATGAGCAGCTCCGAGGAGGTATCCTGGATTTCGTGGTTCTGCACCCTCCGTGGCAATGAGTTTTTCTGCGAGGTAAGTAAGACCATCACATCGTGGAATCATCTGTTATTTCTCGCACGTACTTCTCCCTCGAAGTCCGTCCGTTTCGCCGAGGTTAAACATGTTTTGCACTGTTTATTTTCATGATACGGTTTCCATAACCGCGTCACAAATTTAGGTGAAACACGTATCGTTTCTACCGATATACAGTGCACCGATGATAGTAAGTTTATTGATGTTTCTTATGTTACTTGCGGAAATTAATACAACGTTTTTGCAGGTTGATGAGGATTATATCCAAGATAAGTTTAATTTAACTGGACTAAATGAGCAAGTACCACATTATAGACAAGCTTTAGATATGATACTTGATCTCGAGCCGGGTAATTAATTATTAGTATGTGGCCAGTATAAATATCAAAATTATTTCAGAATCCTACTGTGTTAATATAGATGATGAATTGGATGGACACCCGAATCAAACAGAATTGGTTGAACAAGCAGCTGAGTTACTTTATGGGCTAATTCATGCCCGTTATATTCTTACCAATCGAGGCATTGCTCAAATGGTTGAAAAGTATCAATCCGGCGATTTTGGTTTTTGCCCACGTGTTTATTGCGAATCTCAGTCCATGTTGCCAATAGGCCTTAGTGATGTTCCTGGGGAGGCAATGGTGAAAATTTATTGCCCCAAATGTATGGATGTATATACACCAAAAAGTTCACGGCATCATCATACCGATGGAGCATATTTTGGAACTGGATTTCCACACATGCTTTTTATGGTTCACCCAGAGTATAGACCAAAACGTGCAGCAAATCAATTTGTACCTAGGTAAGACACAGAACATGTTACAAATAAAAGCTAGCATTATGTTTTAAAATATAAAAAACAACTTAACATGAATACTAATGCATTGCAGGTTATATGGCTTTAAAATACATCCTCTAGCATATCAGATGCAGCAACAATCGGCGTCAACGTTCAAAGCACCGTTGCGGGCTCTTAATAATTATAACAATGGAAAACGTTAAGAGCATTACAACATAGTCCAGAACATTTTTTTTTCATTAATCATACAATTCCTGATTTCGTCCCTAAGAATTAAATGAAATATTATTTTTTATATCGCTCTTTATACATCTTAGCAAGGCTCTGAAATATACTGTTCGTTTCGTTCAATTACCGATTACGACATTAAGCGCAACACTCTATACTTTTCGGGTTTTCCACGGTATTTATAGTATGCCGAAAAGATTAAAGAGTGATATATTAAATTTCTAATGCTCGTTACGCGCCGTGCTCGTCTTTATTTCAATTTTAGTGGCAATTTTTCTTTCATGTTGCAAATTATATGTGTATCGTTACATCCAGTCTTGTCCATTAAAGCAAACGATAAAATGCATACTTAGGATAATTACTAGAATATAAGGGAACAGATGTTTGTTTAGATGAGTTTTGCATCTCCGAGATTGCTGTCTACTAGTTATTGCGCGTAATAATGGTCACGGATGATTGATCGAAAAACGGAGGAACAGATAGCATCGGATCCTGATTATTCGGACAGAGGAAACGATACATGAATTGAGAATTTGTTAAATATAATTTAATTTAATTAAGACGTAATATTAACTTAAACTGTGGAAGAATCATTTCATTTATACATGATTTATCTTAATAAAGCTCAGATGAAAGATATGGAGTAAGATTAAAAGCAAAGACTGCACAATGTTCTATATAATCTTCTTTATTGCAGCAGTTCTTGTCGGTCTTATGTGCAACGTTTAACGATCGGAATGGAAATTCCATACCATTTCTGAACACTATATGTATCTAACATAGGCAGTGTATATTTTAATATAGAGAAATAGGAATCATTAATACAATGGTTTTTGTATTACAATTATTATAAGTGTTCAAAATTGTTGTCTACATAAAATCAAATAAGTTATGTGTCATTAAACTTATCACTTAATTTTTTAAGAATTCTATTTAAGCTTTAGACATTTAAAGATACTGTTTGCAAAAAAAGAATGACAATATTTTCCATTATATCGTTTATTAAATTCTGAGAACATTTGAGACATACGCAATTTTGTATTCTTTCAATGTATATTTCCAATAGCATATTTTATTCTTGTATAATATTAAATACATGGATTACAATTTTGATCGAATAAATAAAAGTATCAAATATTTTAAAAATTAATTTTTTCAATTAATATAAAATTTTAACTGTAAAATGTACGCAGTTTTGAAAGAAGCTTGGTTCAATAAATTAAGTTGTAACATGCATTGGAAGCAGTAACGATTTATAATATTTTATTATATATATTTCAAACACTAGAGTTGTAATATAACATTATACATGATATCAAAACCATTATTTTTATATTAATATAATAAACTGCATCTGACGTATGCGCCGATATAAGTTTCTTAAATATCCCTAGTCCACAAATTTTTTGTGGTGCAACACTGTACGAATTGACCAATCAGTGTACACCTTTAGATTTTGAATTTGATGACGTAAACAGAAGACCAGTACGATACAAATCAAACAGTCTGGAATCACAAAAGTCAACTTTGTGTTTCTATCAACGTGTTGAAGAAAACAAGGGGTACTTTTTCATATTCAGTAAAGTAGATAACTTTACAGATGCGTCTTTCAAGGATCTGTTTAACATCAAAGTTGAAGTGATTTTGATAAGCATACTTACGACAATGCTTTCGGAACAACAAAGACCAAGTAGTTCTCGAGAGTTTTTAATAATTTTTAAGAAAGAAGAACCCCTTGAATAATTAGCAATTATCATTTAAAATAAGCTTGATATCTTGGCTTGATATTGTACTGTGCCTGTTAGAACCACGATTCTTCCTGAGATTACTTAAACAATTAGTGTGGATTGTTTATATTTTTAAAGGATGTCGAATCTTTCGACAAATGGTAGGGCTGTTATGAGCAGCATGGATTATCAGAATCACACGAACTCACGCCCAAAATTTCAACCGATACGTGTAAAGGAATTATTACATTTTTATGAAAGTGATGATGATGAGAGTGAAGATAAACCACAAGATTCTGATACTGAATCAGATTCCGACGAACCTCAGCCTTTATCTCAAGATGATAGTATTGAAAATCAGTCGAATAAGTCGTTAACTTTACCTAAAACAGAATTTGATAATAATGTACAATCAACTTCTGAAGCTTTACCACTGACTGCAACTAAGAACCTTGTTGATTCTTCTTTAGTCTATAACACCAAGGAATGTCATACAAATAATGTAACTGCAGAGGTACATGTCTCCATACATAATAATTATAATACTGTAGATTCATACGATAATAAGTACAAAGATTTAAGACAAGATAATCATAGAACATGGTCTATCAATGTAGAAGTTGATGCAGATACTAAATGTGAAACTAATATGACACAACAGTGTTTAAAATCATCTGAAAATGACCATAATGCAAAAAATGAGAAACATGGAAAATGTGAGCAATCAAGTCATACTCAATTACATTGTGAAAATGCTTTTGCACAAGAGAAAACATTTCAGAGTGAGCATAAAACTAAACATGTTGCTACTGCAGATATTAGAACAAAATCAAATGAAGAACAGGCTTGTAAAAGTGACCGTCAATCTATGAATAAATATAATTCTTGTAAAGTAAATGAACTTGAATCTTCAGTTTTTGCATCTCAAAATTTGGAAAATTTACAGCAACCTGGAACATGTACGTTACAGAATACAAACATGAAAATGGAAATATTAGACACAAAGGCAACAATAACTAAACATAAAACACACCATGAAAATGTTTCTTCTAATAAATCAGACAGTGGTACACTAATAAATTCCTCTGAACAGTTGGCAGTAGAAACACCTATGAAACATGTATCACATGGTTCTTCACGTCCAGATCCATGTTTCTCTCGTAGAAATATTGTTCAAACACCACAAAATAAACTGTCTGATGTATCAAAGGGTCTTGGATTGACACCAGTTACAACCTCGTGTCACTGGATGCAAAGTAACATTAAACAAACTCCATTGCAAAGTACAAATATTAACTACAAAGACAGTATGCAGACACCCAAGAATTCTATTTACTTTGCTACAAGCATGGTAAAACAGGAAACTCCAAGGTACACAATTCAACTACAATATAGACATTAATTATAATTTTTTATACAAATAAATATTTAATTGTAGGTATTTGAGTACAGAATGTAAAGTAAGACAACCTTTAGCAGATACAGGAAGCTTTACACATAATAATATCTCAAACAGACGTTTGCTACAAGGATCACAACTCTCCAAAGTAAATGAAAAAACACCTAAAGTTCAAGATAAATTGTCTGACAAAAATTTAAACCACCGAACAAGTATCAACAGACAAATACTTGAAGCATCAGAAAATCCTGCACAATTCTTCAAAGTAAATGAAGAAATGCCTAAAGTTCAAGATAAATTATCTAACAAGAATTTAAGCCATCGAACAAGTGTAAATAGACAAATACTCGAAACATCTGAAAATCCTACACAATTGGAATCAGATGTTAATGAACAATTAAAGGAAAATAAGTATCCACATGGAGAGGATAAAGAAACAATGGCACAGAAAAAAATATCAGCTCATAAACACATTACTCATTCTAATGAGGACAGCAAGGATGCTTTGAAACCTGTATGCAATGATCCTCAAAATCAGTATCCAGTGGCGAATAATCAAAGTCAACAGCAACAATCAAACAGAGCTGCAGGTACTGCGGCAACTGTACAGTTTTCCATGCCATCTAATGTTCCCATATCAAAACAAACCAGAACTGTTTTTGTAAAAGGAAAAGAGTATTTGATTTTGGGTTCGCTTGGTCGGGGAATGAGCGGAGATGTTTTAAGAGTGCAAGATTTAACTTCTCTTGAACTATGTGCCATTAAGTGTGTTAATCTTAATCGTATGGATAAGGATTCAGCACAAGGTTGTTTAGAAGAAATATCAATGCTACATAAATTACAAGCACCGTGTGTTGTTAAAATGTTTGATTAGTAAGATATTATTTATCAAATACATAATGACAGACACACAGAACAAGCACAGAAGCATTCACATTCGAGTTTTTTGTTGTAGCGAAATTAAGTATCCCATGGTGTATGTGGTAATGGAAATGGGGGATACAGATTTCAGTCGTCTTCTAAAAACGATGTCGCAAGAGAGACATATTCCTCTTACAATGATTCTTTATTATTGGACAGAAATGTTAACAGCTGTTAAACATATACACGATAATGGTAAATATCTTAGCAGATGAAAATGATTCGTTTATTATGTACTTTTCTATTTTTCCAGGGGTAATTCATTCTGACCTGAAACCTGCAAATTTTTTATTAGTAAAGGGAAGACTAAAGCTTATTGATTTTGGAATTGCTTCCAGTATGAATGCAGACATGACGTCTGTTGTAAAAGACTGTCCCATAGGTACTTTAAATTACATCAGTCCAGAAGCTCTAATGGACACAGGAGGAAATTCAGATTCTCCCACTCACAATGTTAAATACAAAGTATAAAAATTAATTTTGCTAAATTAATAACGATTACAACGACCAAATAATAATATGCATATGTTCCTTTGACAGATTACTTTCAAGTCAGACGTGTGGTCGTTAGGATGTATATTGTACAGTTTAGTGTACGGTCATACACCGTTTCACCATATTCGTTCACAATGGGCTAAAGTGAATGCGATTACTAATCCGAAACCAAACATCTCCTTTCCTGCAACTTTGCCAGCGGGAGAGGGTGATAAAGTTATATCTTCGCCACCGATTTTAATTGATGTGATGCGCAGATGTCTTCAACATGATCCAAAAACACGGCCAACAGTGGCCGAGCTTTTGCAAGTAGAATATGTACCTACTACACAAGGACGTAGATTAACACAAATGCCAAACATTCCAGCAAACCTTTTGGTGAAAATAAAACACGCATTACACGAAGATGAATGGCGACAATTAACACGGGTTTGTGAATTTTTTTTACACAATACATTGTATTATAAACAAAATAAATTTTTTTATACAAAATTTTGTTTACCACATATAATGCACATAAGTAAAAATATTCGAACAATTAGAAATAACGTGTAATTATTTTTTATGTTCCAGGTTCTGGAAAACAGACGGCATACATAACACTATCTTGATTAAGTACTGCTAATTATGTACATAAACTTTTTATACATAACAATCGGCAATAATACGTAGGGTGCTTATTTAAGTGTATTATAGTAAGGGATTTATTTGAATACTGGTTTAAAATATAAGATTGTATCATGACACAACTCTGTATTGTAGAATCCACGGATGCTTACCTGTATGTTACTTGTCAAGCAGATATCGCATATTCCAAATGAAACACGCGTGATCTATTAAATTAAAATATCTTTCATTTTATTATCACACATTCATGCATACAAACGACTCCATTTAACATAAGCAATAGTATTCACAAGCAGCCATTGTGCTAGATAACTGCATGATTGGAATCTAAAAATATATATCTACAGGTTGCTCGTGAAAGAATGTATTCCGAATCAATTCCTTTACAATTATTTTTAGATTTCAAATAATACAAAAGTATGCAATATCTTCGTATTACATTTTTGTGTTCTTAACGTATAAAAAAAACGCAGAAACTTCTTCGTCGTTTCCTTGGCGTTTTCTTGCTCATTGAAAGTACAGTTTTCCTTTTAATAGCAGTGCGTATTGCACGTTATGCATACGTAATGCATAATACAAATATCGTCAGTCAGTGCATTGCCGTTAACTGCCAATACTGCAATAACCTTTCACCTTTCGGCAGAGTCATCGAATCGGGCCTTTCGAATGTTAGCATGATATCTTTCACTTTACTTTTTAATTCCCGATCAAATAAGTGACCTCCCGTACGTTCTAAAGCCGATGCCATATCATACTCGACAGACGGAAGTGGTTCCCGAATAAAACGCGCAGCGCTAGCGATACTTGGTATGATGTGCCACTGTAGGGCTTTGATTTCCCAGAGACTACTAAGGAGTGCATTACTTAACAATGGATCTCGTTCTTCCATTAGGAACGGGTCGCCGGCACCGTTACTTTCTTCCGTTGGAACTACTCCTCCTTGTGGATGATCAATGAGACGTTTTAAACCAGGATGCCTAAGTAGGAGATTCCCAACAAATAGTAAAATAATAAGAATATCTTCGGGTGGTGCGACAAGAGTTAAACGCGCGAGTCGTTTGGCGAAGGCAGCAACTAAAGCTTCTGGTAAGTGCCTGGAAAATAAGTACGAATACAATCGGTGATTCCGATATGAATTAGGAAGAGATACCGCAAATACTCACGTCGAACTAAGGAAAAGATCGGACAAATAAAACAAACGAGCTTTGTACTTTGTGTGAAAGATTTCTGGTTCGAACATAGAATAAAGTTTGGTAAAAATATTGGGGTATTCCAAGTTGTGCTTGGTAACCAGTACAAATACACCTTGTAACGCAAGTAAACCAATAGGTCCATCTGCATCCATAGAGTCCATAAGGAAGTCTGTTAATAGAACAGGCTTCTCTAGATGTGACATCACTCGTTCTAGAAGAACTATCAATAACTGTTTGTGCAACTGTGGAGTCAATTCCCAATGCATAACACAAACCCAGACTTTGTTAAGTGCACGTCTAGCTCCTGCTTGATCCCATACAAAGGGTTTAGTATCTAATAAAAGAGAATCAGGAAACATAAAAGATGTAATTAACACATGTGCAAAAAAAAAAGAATAACAAAAATTTCTCTACCTTGCTGTGACCCACATAGTAAATTTTTATATTCAGACATGCCAAATTCTGAAACATAAGTGAAATATATTATATACTATATTCAATAGAATCTATACATGACTTTAGTACTTTATAATTTATACCAGGAGTTTCCTTTGGCAATGGCAACTTGTGTATAAGCTCGAGTAAATTTTTTATGTAAGCTTCGTGTGGTTGTCTTTTTGGAGTCAACGAAGGAAGACATTTCCATGTATAATAAAGGGCATCAGGGTATTCTATGATTTCTTGAAATCTAAATATTAAACTGGTATTGTCTTTCTCTGGTGAGAGTAAGCTCATCAGGATAGGTTTCAACCGATGTAGTGGAAAGTAATACCCTAAATTCCCAGTTGGTTCCAAGGGATTCTTTCCTTCCTCTGCCATAAGTTTAATAGCAGTAGTGAGAGCTTGTAGTTGAATAGCAGGTCGACATTTCTCTATCGACAATAATATTTTCTCCCATATTTCTTCATAACAGTTTCTCAACCAGTTGATGTATCTTGCCTCCGGACTTGGCTCTGTTTCATAAATCTTATGGAAAAGCTGTCTCATATTTCTAAGTGTTTACGAAACCGAAACGTTAAATTCTTTGTTGTCACGCATCAATTTTGTGTCCATACAAACATTTTCACAAAATATAAACGCGTGGACTGTTCGTGATGGAATGTTCATCGAAAAATTTGGAGGGTGATATACGTGTTGTCAAACATCGAACGACAGGAGAGTATCGAAATATTCGGACGTACCTGAAATCGTGAGCGTTATTGTACGTTCAAGATACATATCGCCTCTTCTTAAGACCTCAACAAACATCGTCTCTATCGTGAGTAGACACGACGAAGTGGATTCCTGACGGGGGTGATCAAAAGTTTTAATAAGCGACATAACCTTAGAAAATTAATATATTCGTTGATTAGAAGTGATTTTAAAACTCGAACTTACGTCCCACTGAACTATTATGTCTACTAGATTGTTCGCGTGCTTTCTTGAAGCCAGAAACTCTTGTGCTTTTTGCCTTAAAACTTTCGACGACATCTTCTGGCTGGAAGAAGCGCCGGGAAGATCTGCTGCATCCGCCATCGTCGTCCACGGAAAATTCGGTAATGGCAGATGATATCGCGGCACGTCGTGGACGTGTTCTCTCGTCTTCTTATTTTTCGTCGTAATCACTGCACTGTGTGCTGTTAAAGCCTGGAATATTGGAAAATTTAAACCGCGAGACTGTGATCCGAGTCTACAGTGTAAGAGAAATCGATAACGTGTGTCGCTAATGCTATCCGTACCATTTTTATCGTTTGGTTAACGTTCTCAGTTTTGTAAGACTGATTGTCGATTCATATAAACATATATCATACGTATAAGTATAGACGATTTTGAAGTTTTTTTTGTCGCAGGGAGTTGTGGCAACGTGTGTTTTCCTTCCACGAGTGTGTAAACAAGAAAGCTTTATTTCTTACGACTGTAATATAACGACACCCTGTAAGTAAATATTGCACATTATTCTTACATTTGTATATAAATAGCATTCTGTATATATTTTTGAAAAGCATTCGTATAAAATGCTACATGTCGCGCTATTGAGTACATGTTTTCCAGTAGTTTAAATTGTTATACCTCATTTGTTGTTATTGCTGGTTTATAACCTGTGAATTCGATATTGTTTTGACATTGAGTCTTTTGGAATGAAAGTCATATGGTTTATGTAATATAAAAAATACTATATTATATAGTCATTCAGTAGACACAATACTATATTAAATAATTATTTATTTTACCTATTTGGACAAAATAGAAAATGCTAGAAGTAACATGTAATGACCGTCTTGGGAAAAAAGTTAGAGTAAAATGTAATCCAGACGACACGGTAGGTGATTTAAAGAAACTAATAGCTGCTCAAACTGGAACACATTGGGAAAAAATTGTTTTAAAAAAATGGTACACCATTTTTAAGGATCACATAAAACTACAAGATTGTATCCTTTTGAGATTAAATACACTTTTATATTGTCATACAATATCATAAAATTTATAACATATTTTCCTTAATTTAATAATTCAGATGAAATTCATGATGGCATGAATTTAGAGCTTTACTATCAATAAATAATTAACAATTACTATTACACAAATCATTGTTAAATATAAACACAATAATAACAATAAAAATCATTTTTATATTTAAGCAGTTTATGATTTTATATCTTATATAGTATTTAAGTATACATAATGTATATAATAACTATACAGTAAACAAATGTAGCAGCAGCAAAAATAATCTTATTTTGCATTACTGATGATCATGGATATTTATAATGTGTAAACCTTGTGGCTTATAGATGTTATTTAACATCTGACTCTTGCTAAGGTATTTTTATATATTGATTTCATATTAATATAGCCTTTTTCACACTGTAAAATGTAATACTTGATATTAACACTTTGTACCTAAGGTTTTAGATTGTTTAACAATAGTTATGAATTTCTATAAACAGTTTTCAAAAATAGTTCACTGCATATTTTCTGAAATTCTTATTACATTATCTCATTTATCACTAATTCAATGCAAAGTTTCTACATTAAAATATATGCGAGTATTAGGAATGACAAAAACAAAAACATAATTAGTGAACTTATTTCTGTCAAGCTCTAAACCTTTCAAAAGTTAATGTGGCCTCTTGAACAGTTTTTCTGTTTTGTTTATTGAATATTCAGGCTGCACTGTAACCCTACTACCCCTGTTGCTTAAGAGGTCTCTTATGTGTTGCACTATCAAGTCTATTGCCACTGTAACAAAACATAACAAATAAATAAGTGGTTAAAGGTTGCTTATTTTATCACCTTAATTTCTTTATTATTATTTCATTTTACAATCTAAATAAATGTTATATCAAATTACACAATTTAAATAATTGCCCTGTAAAAGAATGACACATTTTCATGGGGATTAAAATGATATTTGAGCATCTGAAAAATGGGAGCACCAAGTAAAGTGATCAGCATCACACAAGACAACACAATTAAATTGTCCACTCAAGTATGGTAGTATGTAAATGTGCATCGATTGAAATTAAAAATATCACATTTTACAGAATTATACTAACAATATATACTTTATGCTCATTTAAATTGCTTAAGATAAAATTTTAATTTACATCTATAAAAATGCACAAAGCATTGAACCAGTTTAAAGTACATTATATAAAAAAAAAACTAAATTTTCAATGACATGCATAATTATACATACATATACATAGGCTTACAATGGTTGACATATGTTATACTTAAAAGTTTCCAGTACATTAGTCTTAGATATAAATTTGAATAATTATGCAATGTTGGAATTATAATATTTGGAGAAGGTACTTAGTAAAAACATGCAGTATATCCATATCCTTAGGAACAGTGTAAAAATTAATGTCACCCCATGCGAGGGTAGAATGGATGCAGATACACTTTTTAAAAGCAATATCTTCTGTTGCTTAGTATAAATGTAGTACAAATACAGTGTTTGTAAGTACAGGGGAGAAGTATTAAGTACTTAAAATATATGATATAATATATAAAAAGAATGTAGTGCTTTTATAAATGAGCATATCATGCTTAAATCATCTGCTGAGAGTGTCGGATGAAATTGAAGTACGTCTATGTTGGTAGATGTATGGATGCTGCCCGGATGAGTTTTCAGCCTTTTTCAAACGCAAAATGTCCCAGATGTGGTGCACTATAAGATCTATTGCCACTGCAAACATACAACAACCAAACCATGTACGTTTTTATATGACCTTAATTGTCATGCTAACTTAAAAGACAGCTTGTTTTAGCAGCCCTTACATACCAGGCAGCACCCATGAACAGCTATATAGATGTGCATAAATAAAAATTTAAGCTGTCTTATTCCAAGTCTGCATCTAAGTTACGTTAAATAATTGATATATTTTTAGAAAAACAATGAGTTAAGTACTAAGCTTCAAGGTCAAAACAAATAACAATCTGAACGATTGAGTTTTATAAATTAGGTGCAGACTGAATGAAAATGAATTAAAGTTATGAATGCATAATTATACATTTATGAATAAGTTAATAATCCTAGTCATGTATTGAATATTAAGCAAGTATAATAAAACATTCTAAAATAAATACAGCATCCTACGTTTAAAGGTATTGTTAATGAAATTACAAATTTCTTTATATGTTATTTACCTGTGTTGTCTGCACCTCTTGGAATAATTACATCCGCAAATTTCTTTGTGGGTAGGCAAAACTCTTCGAATGCAGGTTTTACAAAATTCATATACTGATTCAATACATAATCTAAATCTCTTCCTCTTTCTTTTATATCTCTGGGTACTATAAAAATAATTGAAATTATTTATTTAATCATCATCATTATTTTTATACATACTGTTAAAAAGACAAGGTCAGTCATTTTTATGTAATATTACCTCTTCTCGCCAATCTAGTATCTGAATCTGTATCTACAAATAATTTCATATGGAATAAGTCACGTATTTTAGGAAAATAAAACACTAAGATCCCTTCGAATAAAACCACATCTGCAGGATAAATTGTTGTAATTTGATCCTTCACTCTGGAATTTATACAAAATACTAGTTGAATATTATGGGTTGTTGGCAACTATTAATATAGTATAAAAATAGGAGGAACACATACAAACTGTTTGTTCTGTAATCATAAGCTGGTATTTCACACTTTACACCAGCCAGTATATCTTGTAATGTCTGAAGTATCAAATCATTATCAAATGCGTTCGGATGATCAAAATTGTATTGACCTTTCTCGGCTTTAAGTTTTTCGGCCGGTGATAAGTCCCGATAAAAACTGTCTTGTGAAATGCAAACTACTTGTCGTTGCATGTGATCCATGTCAACCTGGCCTAATTTTTCCATTATACGTTTACACACGGTCGACTGAAATGACCAAAAGAAAAAAAAATACAAGAACCGTATGAGTTTCAGACTGCGTGTACGTTACAAAGGTTAAGACGTATCAAAACATCTAAAAATTGTATTGTGTGCAAAATAATACGTGAAATCGATTAAGATATTCTAAAGAAATAATCATACTTACTTTTCCACTTGCCGTGCCACCTGAAACTCCGATCAAAAAAGGTGTTTTATTTTCTAAACCATTTAATTTTCCATTGATACCGAAAGACATTTTTCGTGGTGTAGTAACGTTCATTGACATATCTGCCATCGTTGAGTATTTATGTACTAGTTTCTTAATTGAAAACCGTGTCGGTCTTGACGGCGACACAGAAAGGACAATTTTGCGTATTGCACGAGTGATACCGAGCGTAAGAATATCGATAGACATAGATAGACACACGCTTAGTGCAAATCATTAAGTAAAAACGCGGGCGCGCGCGCGCGTGTCCGGTTAACGTTATTCAACTAAATATTTATATAAGGTGTTCAAATCGTCCGTATCCAGACAATATAAATCTATTTATTTACGCTAAATATTCTAATAAACTTCTGATACAGCTTAGGACAGCTTAGAACACAGTATCCTAAGTCTGTGTTACATCAGTTTTATTTAGAATACGTTATCCCAAATTTCTTTGTGAATTATATTTAGGATATAGTATCTTAAAGTTTATACTATTCAGATACTTTTTAATTTCATATTTTTAAAACAACGCATTTCAATTCTTAATATATTATTTTCAACGTGTAATAATATTTATGCTATAATAAGAGATTGATATGTTCACATACATATGTTATCATATATACACTATGTAGAAGTGAACACATGCGTGGTATATGCTTTTGGATTCTAATAACACCTATATCTATGTATTTACATGATAATGTGCCTTAGCGTGCATGGCAGCATGTGGTCATCATTTGGTGGGAAAATGGTCATGTGTAAAACGAATTAAATCGGTTACAAGTAAACAGTAACAGGTTTTGTGACGGTAGAAAAATTTCTGCATTGTGTTACCATGAAGAAATATATGAATTTAAATACAAATGGGAAACGTTTTAATTGAAAATTGTACCGATAAGACATGCTGTGCCGAAATTTGAATTCCCATTTTTCATTCACCGTTTGTCTCAATTACTTAAAACCACATGGTTGATATTTAAATTTAATAAATTACGTATGCTATAGAATACAATTATTTTAATATTTAGTTTAGATATAATCATTTCTTTTGGACATAATCTAATAATCTGTTTTTGTACTTGTAGGTAAATGATACCATGTTATGATTTCCTGCTTATCATTTTGCGCGTGATTACACAACCAATGTATATAGATGTTTATTCTATGGAACAGAATTATGCAAAATACTGTAATCCAACGCTATGTCTGCTCTTTACCAAGCTACGAGGTAACTTTATGTAATGTTTGTTTAGTATAGTTATATGTTTGAAGTAGTGAATTTTTCACATTATACATGTAATTATGGAACAAAAAGTCAATCATAATTATTGCTACAAGAGCTCTTATAAGGTACAGCATGAATAATTATTTATATCATATCAGATTAATTTATTTGTATAAGAAAATGATCTTTATAAACAGATTATTCATTATATTTTCAGGCTGCTTTACAAGCATTGCATGGTTTACAAAGCAATGCTGAATATTTGAATTTAGCAACACAAAATAATTGTAATGATTCTTGTAAAATTACTGATACAAGAAAGTATCTGCTTCGGTAATAATTCTTTCATATGGTTTGTTGAGAAACAAGAATCTACTATGACTAGAAAGATATGAGCTTCAATATGACTTTTACAGAACTGGCATTACTCTTGAGAAGTTGGATACTTTGTCTGTTATTCATGTAGCAGGTACTAAAGGGAAAGGTTCTGCTTGTGCGTACACAGAAGCTATTTTACGTGAACATGGCTATAATACAGGATTTTTTAGTTCTCCCCATTTAATTAGTGTAAGGGAACGCATAAAAATAAATGGACAATCATTAAGTCAATTACTCTTTGCTGAATACTTTTGGAAAGTGTATGAGAAACTGGAGAGTACAAAGGAGCATGAATCTGATATGCCTATGTATTTTAAGTTTTTAACAATTTTAATGTTTAACATATTTTTAGACTTGAATGTTGATGTTGCTATAATTGAAGTTGGAATTGGGGGACTAAAGGATTCCACAAATATTGTAAGAAATCCTGTATGCGTGGGTATAAGTAGTTTAGCAATGGATCATACATCCTTACTAGGTAATACTCTAGAGGATATAGCTTATCAGAAGTCTGGGATTTTTAAACCAAAAACTATTGCATTCTCTGTTCCCCAACTTCCACTAGCAATGCATGTACTAGAAAAAAGATCAGTTGAAGAAAATTGTACACTGCACATTATACCTCCTTTTGAGGAGTATACATGGGAAAATCTGTCACCTATTTTGAAAATAAGAAACCATGTTCAGAAGCAAAATGCATCATTGGCTATTCAAATGGCTACTACATGGATTATGGTTGAAGGCAATAAAAGTCCATCTGTTGTGTATAATACTGTGCAGACTAACAAAGTTAGCTACATATATAACAACTATGTACAGCAAACAAATTTATCAAAGATTGTGTCCATGGACAAAATTGCAATGGGTTTAGCTTCCTGTAACTGGCCTGGTAGAATGCAAATTTTAAGAAGTAGTATTGCTGATTTTTATTTAGATGGTGCGCATACAACTGAAAGTATTGAGAGTTGCATTTCGTGGTTTAATGATGTAACCAATAGACGTAGAGGAAAAAAGAGTTTGATCTTTAATGTTACTGGAAATCGAGATTCAACTAAACTAATGATACCTTTGAAATCTCTACATTTTGAGAATGCATATTTTGTACCAAATTATGCGGGAGTTGAAAGTATAGACGATGCTTTCAATCGTTTTAGAATGGACGAACAAAAACTTAAATGTTTAAAAAATTCCGAATTCTGGGGAGCAGGTTCAGTAATTGCAAATAGTGTTTCTGAGGTTTTGCGGGAGATAAAAAAGGACACTTCAAAACATCAAGTTACTTGCAATAACGATGAGAAACATCAAGTTCTCGTAACAGGATCATTACATTTAGTAGGTGCGGTTCTTGCTGTATTAGACCCAGATTTAACAATGAATACACAATTTTAATGGGTTTAATTATTATGGGTGAAACACATAATTAACAAGAATATTTTCTATAAATAATAGAATAATATATTTAGTAATCATAGTAACAATAACTGTATCAATTCATAGTAATATTATTAATGAAATATTGCATTGTTAACTTGACAATAGCAATGTACTCATTAATATTTTTATTTGTACTTCAGTATAAATACATTTTTCACTCAGCTATGCGTGATTTCAATGTTATAACAATTTGTACAGGACATAGAACTTATACGACCTTAAAATAAGAGTGACAAAATAAAAATGTTTAAAATATTTTTGGATGGTAATCTAATTCTGACTCGGCCTCAGTGTCAGATAAGCTTAATGAAACGCCGGCTCTGCGCCGTAGATGATTTTCGTCAGGGCTCTGAAACAAAGAAATATAATCTTTTACACGAAATATTTTTGTATATACATAGAACTGAAAATATGCATCACATGACACTTTACAAATGGAAGAGAATACGCAACAATAAGTACTTGTTACATTGTTATTTTTATACTCGAGTGAAGAATAAAAAGTTTTGTACGTATTAGAAGGATACCTCTTTTCTTTATATCAATGTCGGGAGTCGAATAACATATTGTACAAGTATTACTGTGTCATTCGATTTCCGATGAAGGTAGTTGCAACACTAACGAAACATTAGGATAATCTTTTAGAAAGGCTTACGCCCGAAAGACACAATAATAATAACTGTATGACACCGAATCACGAAAACCACAAATCTCTCATAATTTTTAGGATACGTTTAATATATGTATATCATGATGACTTGGAGTAAGTAATAAGAAAACAGCTTAAAAGGATTCAGTACCTGGTCTAGAATACCGGCAGTGGGTTCAGAGGCATAACCTACTTCTTGTGCATCTTCCTCTAGATCCGCCTCGTACTCTTCTAACTCATCTGTATCAGAATCAATATCCAGATCTACATATCGACTTCCTCTGGAGACTTTACACACCATCTGAGCTAAATCCGTGAAAGTATACGAGGATACGGACTGCTGAGTCGATGCTTGGTGTTTCGCTCGTAAAGCCCGAGCATTTTCTCTGTCGGCATTAAAACGGGGGAGAACTCCAGCTTTTGATTGTCCTTCAAAGTACGTTTTTCCTGTATGTAGAAATTGAATACGTCAAATTATGTGCTTATTCATAAAAGTGTTATTTTCTAAATACTGTCGTAATAATTACCGTGCTGATACCCGACATCTTTAATTTGGTCGAAATTAGTAAACTGAAGAGTTTTAAATTTATCTATCGGTGGCCTGATGTATTCACAATAATCCGAGTTCTTTACTTCCTCCAGTTGCCGTACGCAACTCACGTATGCCAATCTTGATTGTATATCGGGTAAATTTGGTACTTTAACAGGTGTCGCGAAAGGATTCCATCGTTTCCATAGTAGCCACCAACCGGATAAAGAATCTCCGTAATTTGTCAAGTCCGTGTCATCCTGTGATCCAACGTCAATGGCCAAAATGTGATGCGCTCCTTGCCTCAGCATTTCGTCAGCTTGAACACAGAAATTGCGAGTGTATGTACTGAGAGTCGATTTACAAGAGAGAATGTATCATTTCTTTGATAATATAAACAATACAGGTTTAAGGTACCTGGCACGTTATTAACATAACACCCATCGACCAAAAGATGCCCGTCAAGAGGGTCGCAAATAGGAGGAAAGACCCCCGCTATGGTCATACTGGCTCGAATGCATCTCCATAGCAAACCTGAGTTCACTTAGCTATTCAGAATTTGACAAATGCATCTTTTATCAACGGGAGTGAGCTTTACATTATTTTCCGAAAGACTTACATAATTTCTTTGCCAAATTGTAAATGAATCGTCTCGATACTTACATCAATGAAAAAAGGAACGAATGTGAGACTCCGCTTTTTCATTGGCATAAAAGTATCATAGAATATCCAGGTAATTTTGTAAAATATAACAAGAAGTTACAAATGTTATTTTTCTTTAGTGCGTACGTGCGTTAAACTTAAAATACTTTTTCTGAACATTTATAGTAGTAAGATAAGCTTCTTGTCGCACTTTTCTTTAATGTTCACGCTCAAATTACCTGGAAGGTTATTGACGTACCCGCCGTCGAGTAGGAGATGGCCGTCAACCGGGTCACACATGGGTGGCATATAACCCGACAAAGACATCGAAGCCCGTATGTACCGCCACAGCGATCCTAAACACGACGAATTAAGTTCTTTAATTTGTGTCCGTGCGTTTCTTCTTCACATCCTATAGTCTGTTTACAATGTGTATCATGTACGCTAGAGCAAATATCAGTAGCCCCAAAGCTCTTCGTTACTGCCGCTTAATAGAAGTATATAGGAAGATCCTTGCTGTATATCTATTTTAACGAATTACATAAAAATAATGTTCGCCTTGGCGATTAACGATACAGAACGGAGAGTACGTCAACAACGATTATTAAGAAAGCTCACTCCCGCTGTTCAAGCTTATTTCTACGCAAAGCTCTACGATATATATATACATACATGTGTGTTTAAATGTAAAAATAATACTTTGGGTGAAAAAACAGATCTACAGGGTCTATAAATGAATTCTACTAAAACAGCGAGAGAATTTCCAGTTAAAGCACAATAATTCGGATTATATCTTAAGCATACTTAATCACAAAGAACTGGAAACTATCAATGCTTTCAATAACGTTAATCTTTCTTGCTTAGTATACAGACCGTGCGTGTGAGTACGCATACAAGAGTCAGTGATGTCTGTGGTAATTGTAAAATATGGTAACCACAGATCTTCTATGTATGTATCACCAAATGTCCCTTGAATCGTTTTATTAAAATCTTTTCCAGAAAACATGGATGTCACCGGATATGTCAAATCCATTATTTGTCTCCACCATTGTGTCATTTTCTGTTCAGAAAAATACTCATCAAATTAAAAATGAAAAAAAAAAAAAAAGATCAGGATGTATTCACGATACTTTCATTAATTTTGTATCATAGTATCTACCTTAGACCATTCACGAGCCTTTTGAGTTGTTGTCGTAATATTTTTCTCCATGCACCATAACGCACCCATAAATGCCCCAATACTGACTCCGCCGACCATATCTATGGGTATTCCGGCTTCAATAATCGCTTTGAGCATTCCCACGTGGGCTGCACCTCTAGCACCACCACCTCCAAGTACGAGACCAACCGAAGTTCCGGTTAACCAGCGAGCAAGTCTACTGAAATCGCTATGTACGTTTGGTTCTGACATAAGAACTTTGGAATACAATTCATTCTAGAAAACAAAAATCATATGAATTTCTCATCTAATATAAATAAAAGCCACGATATCTCATGTCCTTACAATTCTATACTGAGATCTTCTCGTGAACATTCTCTTTGGACATTGAATGTGATGGTGACTAGAAACCCAAGATCTCATGTTCAACCACTGCACAGTATTCGTGGGCCGCTGTCCACCTTCTTTGTGCAATAGCACCAATTCTTTTTGCGTTCTCATTACTAAACGTTCAATTTCACGCTCTGTTCTACCTATAGAGGGTTGCCTATCACCTAAACCCACAATAAGAATACAATCAGCCTGTCGTACGCATCGTTGTGTCCACAGTGTATACGTTGGATCGCACTGATACAACGAGATTCGATGCTGATCTTCTTGTTGTGCAAGCCATGATGTTAAACGATATTCATTCGCGGGTTCCATGATGGTGCTACTTAATGTCTATTGATAAAAAAAACCAATATTTGTAGAATTTTTTCACTCGTTAACAGAATTCATGAGAGAATAGATTTCAACTGCTTACTTTACGGACAACGTCTGAAGTAAGACGCGTACATGGTCCAATAGCACACAACGAATGGTAAAGTTCATAAGTGAACGCAGTTAGTGGTACATCGTCGGATATTGGGACTATAGCAACAGTTGAAAAATTTACTTGAGCTGGTCTTGTATCGACTGTTGCAGCGGCTCGTCTGGAAATGTGCTTGTATAAAAATTTACAAAAATGATTCACTGTCAATTGTACGATTGGAGTCACAAATTCATTCCTGATACCTACTGTCTATTAACACCACTGTATTTCGCATGTGGTTGTTGCCAGGTACCAAGAATACGATGACCAAGTAAATTTATAAGCCTCGTAACTACTATCGGGAAACGGAGTTTGATGACATTGAACAGTCCCTCGGGTAATTTTGCTAGTTCAGAATCTCGGACTGCCATAACCGTAGTCGATCGCGGAGTTTGCGTGACCATTTCTACGATGCCTATTAGATCTCCTTTACCGTATTCTGCGACGAGTTCTTTCTTTCCGTTCTTATATGTAATCACTGACCGCAGTCGACCACTCAATACAATAAACGTTGAGTCTGATTCGTCTCCTTGCCTGTACACGGCTCTTCCACTTTCAAGGAACAACCAGTCTAGAGCAAAATCGACCTTGAAAAAAAGGCATAAATTAAAAATCGATATTAACCAACAGATGAAATCCATTGTAAAATATTTTTACCTGTCTGACAAAGGGGCTAAGTCTTCGAACAACCGAGTGGGCTACGTGTAATACAACAGTAGGTTGTTCTCTCATAATTGCAAAGAATACTGATTTACTAAGTAGTGCTATGCGACTAGGATGCTTTGCTCTGATAGTATAAAAAGAGGGTTCACCAGTCAATACAGCTAACCCTCCAACAATTTCACCTTGATGAGCGCTAAACATGTGAACGTCTTGACCTACATCTCTGCCTTCTGAAACTCGTTGACTGACTGTCAGTGAACCCGATACAACATAAACAAGAGCAACATCCTGAAAAATATATGCACAACGTTGATAGACACTGGAAACTGTTATAAATAACATACGAGACAGTATTATATGTATTTAAACCTTATGCGATTCTTCCTTCATCAAATACGTTCCGGTTGGTACTTCTCTAATTTGAATTTTACCATCCTTCAGTATTGAATCATCTTCCAAACCAAGTTCTCTAACAAATGCTTCTGTAGCTAGTTGTACAAGGTGCGCCTCGTCCAGTTGCTGTTGAATCGGTTCAGCGGTAGTAGAGCGTTTCTTCGTTGGATGGGAATTTCCTGTGTGTACATCTGGCTGTGATCCCTGTTGTGGTGTCATAGGCGAAGAATTCGGCCAGTGAGAATCACATTCTGGTACCGCGTCTGCTGTGTTCTGACCTGATTGTGGACTTAAAGTTTGATTTTTCCAATCAAGATTAGTCTTTGGCCTATTATAGAATGAAAATGAATAGAAATACATTCTTTGTTAATCAAGTCTGTTTCTGTAACTTACCGTTTATTTATGACAATAGGTACAGACTGAGGACTACTTAAAGTAGCAGCATCACGATAGAGCATTTCACTTCCATCGTGATGCTCTAATGAAGTAGCTGCAGGTGCAGGGAATTGACTTTCCATATTTTGGGTGGAAAAATTTTCTTTAGTTCGTGACCTAACTGGCGATCCAGAAAACGGGCTTTGTTTCTTTTTATGTGTTCCTTGATTGACTAATTCTGCAGATAAGCCAAGATACTGATGTAAAGCAGTAAAGGTAACTCTTTGGAGGCGAACCATAATGACCTGGATAACTCGAACAAATGCCTCAGGATGATCTTGGAAAACCTATTAGTGTAGAAATATACATACATTATATTGGCAATCATAATTATTAACTTTTTTCTTTATTACTTTGCATTATGTGATTAAATAATACCTCTTGAAATGCACTCATTGGTAACTTCACTACTATAGAATCCTCCACAGTTCTAGCAGATACTGTTTTATAGGTACTTGTATGCCCAGTAAGTACATCCGTAAAGCTAAGAAGACTAGTTACTGATTCTCCTGTTTTTACTAATTTCAATGATACTTGAGTACCATCTAGTCCTGTAATATAAACATTGACCAAGCCTTGTTGTACAATGAATAAATTTTCATCTGGGTCTCCAATTTTAAATAGAGTACTCCCAGCTGGTAGGTTCATAATTTCTGTATGCTTGCATAATTTCAGAAATACAGGTTTTTCAAAATGGCCAAACACCCTAATACTTTGTAACATGTACAAAGCATCTGGTGGTACTCTATCTCCAGGACCTAGATCTTCTTCTAAATATTCAGCCGGTGGTTCCAAGACCTATTCAAGTACAAAAATTGGTTGTAAAAGGAACATGGTAAAAAGCAATAAAATCTGAAATGAAGTTCAGATACTTTTAATTGTTGTGGGGCTGAGTCTTTCTTTAGTTGTAAGAGTCTGCGTGCAAATCTCATGACAGCCTTTCGTTTTTTTCCTTGTCCAGTCGCATGTACTTCGCCGCCAATGGATTTTACTTTGCGTAACATCTTTCTTCCATAAAAAAGTACTTTGTCCCTTTTTCTGAATCTGGGCTTTCCTGTACCTACTCCAACAAATTCTTTCACTTCTGGGAGAAATTCTTTGTTTTTCCATTTTCGTAAAATAATTATAGAGACAATCAAAAGAATTAAAAGTACTGATGTCACAATAATAAACAGAGTCTTTGATGTTTGATATTCCGCAATTAATTTGCCAAACCATCTTGACAAGATGTAGGATCCTAAATTTTCAGTAAACAAATCCACGACCTAGAAGAAAAGTGATAATTAACTTCTTGTGACAAGCTAATTCAGAGTAAAATATAGTATTACGATAACGCGTTTATACAAACAATGTAACGTAATGAGTAATCAGAATATACACATATTTCTATACGTGAAAAAAAAACGTAAGAAATACAATAAATACAACCTCCATGGTGGGTATTCATTTCTTCCATCAGCTTGTTGGAAGACTGTACATGAAGAACGCGTCACGACTTCATTCGTAAGAAATAAAGAAAATATGAGGCAGATGAATTGAAGCAATGTGTTTATTTTGATAGAAAAAATAAGTCAAAATAAGTTATCTACATTTAACCGATGACCTTTGATACTTTGCTCGAGTCACCCAGCGCCATTTTAGTCGCACTTGCTTTACACAAATCAATTGCAACATTTTTCACATATATATGTATATCCAACAATTTCGAAACATTGAAAGTGAAAAATATTCTTTGATACTACATTCGGTACGCTATGTATACATTATTAAGTTAAAAAACTACGAAATAGAAATACTCTAATTACAATAAATCAAACTTGCCGCTTGTGATTATTATATAAAATTTCAACTTGTAAAGTATATAATAATCTAATAATCAATAGACGATTCTCTAAAAGAAATTAAACAAGTTATTTTCCATGTTAAAAAAATTATAACTACAATACACGAAGGAGTGTCCCTTTTATTAGCATCGAAATGAATTCAAGGAAACTAGATATAGTATACAAATTTTTAATTTCTATAAGAAGTAATAAGTAATTTATAAAATAATTTCATTTTCTAATTCACAATTTATTCTTTATTTTAAATGTGAATTATCGTTAACCGTTGTTCTTTTATGTAGCATTAGTAATTATAGTTTGAATAGCCGCGGCACAGTGTCGGGAAATATTCCACCAATGAAAGGGCAGTTGCCCCTCTGCAGGTGTATTTATACAGGAAAGCTTCGGTAGAGCGCGCTACGGTAAAATTCCGGGCGGTTTTCGATGGACAGTTGGGTCCGGCCAGTCAGTGGTTACAGGCCGACATGTTGGAGATGTTTCAGTGATCGGTGAGCGCGGTGAGTCTGACGCGTGATTATTCATGCGTTTTTGACGCGTGTTCACTAGAGAAAAAGTGTATCGAAATCGCGACGCTACATGTGAAGTGTCGAGTGTGACAAGGCTGCTGCTCGTGCCTGGTTTACCCGGCCCAGCGAACATGAGTTGGGGTACAGAGCTCTGGGTAAGTTCTACTACTCGTTTCTCCCGTCCACCTATCTGTCTCTGTTTTTCTCTCCGCTCGTTCGCAATACGCACGGACACACGCCGGGTAACATAGGCGTTCCATTGTCGTAAAACATTGTCATCGAACGTGTCGCTCCGTTGTTTTCGCCAACGGCGTAACAACGTTAGCTCCTGAAAACCAGTTCACGGTGGCAAACCACTCACGGGAGTTTTGCCTTTGCGGTTGCTAGCCGCGGGCGACGTTCTTCTCTCCTTTAGTGTATCCCCTCTCCGTCCACCGTACCCAACCCGGGTGTACGTGTACTCATCGCTCTGTGCTCCTTCGCTTGCTTCCTTTCTCATGAAATCTTCGACGAATACCCGGCGCTACGGTGAGACAGTGACTTGTCATCTTATCGTGACGCAAACTCCCCAAGTTCTCGCTTGGTCGCAAACGTTTCCAGAGATCGTTACCACTTTCTTCAGCCCCCCCCCTTTTTTTGTTTTCTCTTCAACATACGTATCCTGCTTTGTTCTGCGTCGTGTCGAAAGATACCGAGGCTGTATTTTATCTGTGTGCACGTCTTATCGAGTTTCACGCCTTGATGTTCCTCGGTCCCACTTTGAACTCTCGGGAAGCCACAAGCACGATATACAAGTTACGCCTGAACTTGTACTGATTCCGGCAGGTATATAGGTACCCCGTTATCGGACGAAATTTCGTCTCAACCGTGATTCGCCGCGATCCGTTAAAGGGGTTAAACGCAAAACGATCGTTGTTCGCGGGTTTCTAGAATCTTTTCTCTTCAACCTCGGTCACCGTTTGTCATCATTTCGATACTACGAGGTCGCTATTTGTATTCTCCTGCGCCCTATGAAAGCATCCACGCGCATTTACGTCTCTGCACGCACAAGGATCGGAATCGTGCCGCCCAATATCGTCATCTTCCTTACTTTCTGTTCTCTATAAATAATTCATTCTCGCGTTCCAACCGTTCGTTTTTTCTCTCCGATCTCTTTTACTCGCGCGGGTTTGCCGGATCGACGAATTTCTCGACGAGTTCGATCTCTGACGTTTGTTTCACGAATGGATTAGACATAAGAAAAGGTATGTGGAAATTGAAGATTACTCCAGGACGATATTCTATTATTTTCACAGAATATCTGACATTTCACGCAAACCTCATTAACTGTAGATTCTGACATTAATTCTAAAGAAACATTGTCATTCCAACTTTTGCGTGGCTTAATTGGTAACGATACCCTCTGCGCTATGAGTATGTTCTGTGAGGATTAGACGCAGTCGATCCACAAATGTACAGATGTCGTTAAACGTTAAAGGGAATTCTTAGCAACCCTACAGAGTCTGTTCAGCAGTTGAAGGACACGTACGTTCAGGAGGATTATTAATTTCTCGATAATTACCGGACACACGTTGATAATTTCAGTCGAACAGTTCGAAAAAAGAAAAAAGTAACGTTATCGACTTTTCCTCCCCCGAATATACAAAGCATTGTGTTTGACCGATGAATACATGACGCGTGCGCCGCCCGAGCCGGTACCCACGATGTACATAGTATACCCGGTACCACCAGGTTTACAATGTTACTGTTTACGGGGGGGTTACAATTAGGGTTGCCAACTTTTTCAGGGACAATTCTTGGATATATTGCCCAAAACTGAAATATATGTATATACATATATACATGTAATTTCACAATATGCTCCACTGAGAAACCAATTAACATAACATACGAAATCGGTTAGTCCTGTCTATGATTACGACTAAAAAAATTCGTTTCCGATACAATTATCGGAATTAAGCTGATTATACTACGATAAAATATCGCGTTCGATCCGGTGTGTCGCGTCGCCTATTATAATTGATTGATGTTCCACTCGTGTTCCTCCGTGAATCATGATACAGGACGCGTTCGTGTTTAACCGCTAACGGCCGCCAGCTAGCTCGCTCGCTTGCGAGCATATGTACACGTACGACACGGGCGTGCCCCGCCATGCTCTTGACAGAGAAAGGGAGAACGACCGAGAGAGAGTACGGCTTACGGAATTTCGGTGTGAAATGTCTCTTGAACGTGAATAAGAATCGCCTAGGCATGCATATGAGGGAAGAAGTAACATTTTCTTGTCTAAATTGTAACTCTAACGAGATATTTGGCGTTTGGCTTAATTTAAGTGGCTGAGCTTAAGGCTAGACTTTAACATGCCGGTTTTCATGAAATCTTTACGTATGAAGTAGATTCTGTACGACTTCTTTCCAACTTAACGTACAAATGCTATGTATCTTCTGCACAAACGTATGTATAGTCCCTGTAAAACTTATGCAATCGTACAATTCAAAAATGTTTGCGGTACCATGACAAAACACGTGTCTATGATTTGATTTAAATTTCGTCCCACGAAAGAATAGCTACATATCGGTTATTCCGGCGCGGAACAGGAGGGATCGATCACGATTTCTTATCGTTTCGTGTTACAGAACAATTAGATTCGCGTAATGCGCAACGATTTATTGCCAGAGGCCGTAGATAAGCCCTCGTAACGTTCCACGATAATGAAAGCCACTCTTGGCCAGCGCAGGTCCTTGAATCGAACGGCGCTGCGTGAATCGTAACGGAGCGCACGCGGTCGACGATCTTAATTACGCTTTACATATTCGTGTTTACGTGGCGTGCCTGGCCTATCGGTGCACTTTGCACTTGTGCGGGTAAATATTTCGTCTTGTCTCAACCCTGAACTGTATGCATCATGAAGACTTTATGCTATATGTAGATCTTGAATGGTAACTGTTTATACAGTGATCCCTCGATGAATGCGACACGAACAACGGCGTTATTCCCACCATTAGAGTAGTCCCCCTGTGGAACCAATCAAAACAGAGTAAACAGAAGCCATGCAGAGACTTGGCTTCGAGTAAAAAACGTATTTATGAGGGGTTGATAACATTACTGTACTAGTAATTCGTAGTAGAATTTCATCTACGCTAATTGGATACGATGCATTTGGGGGGGGGGGGAAGATTGAAAAAGAAACCAGCAATTGGGCGTGGGCGGGAAAAGCGCGAAGGTTACAGGCATGCGAAGTTACTTTCTCCGGCACGACAGAATCAGGAATTGCTTTCCTATACATATACGGAGCAGTCACCGTCTTCTCAGAGCACTTTGAATTCACAGTCTCCCGCCGGAATGACGTAAGTACACTGTACGTACGTGGTTTTCCTATCGATCCCGCGTGCCACCATATTTTTGTTCGTCGACGAAAAAATCGCATCTTGTACCCAAAGAACCGATTGCTCTGCTCGCAATAGATTCTTCCGGTAACAACACTTTTGTCGCGTTTATGTTTCCATTGAACGTCGGTTTTTATATATACATATATATGTTTTTTTTTTTTTTTTTTTTTTTTTACAAAGAATTGCTCGATGTGTTATTGTACCCGGTAGACTTTGATCACGTATCCGCGACGCGAGTTTCGCAACGTGTTTCGGCCGATGAGTATTACACCTGCTGAGTAATAGGCAAACAAAAGAAGTTAAACGTTCTTTCGCGGCTCGGCTTTTTGCCCCTTGTCCCCCCTCCTCCAAAAGAGGAGGGACAAGAAATAGAGCAGAAACAAGGTGTACAAGGCGGAGTCGTCGGTCTTTGACCAATACAAACCCTAATAAAGGATCCAGAGCTGATTGTGTTATTTTTTGTCCAGTGATGGTTCCTCGAGCAAACGAGAATAGCGATTCTATTCTGTCCGTTATCTGGACGATCAGATAAAATTTTGCATATGTAAAAACACTCTCCAGTCTCGTGTCAGCTTTATGCAGAATGAAGTTCGAAACACGAGTCAATTAAATATAAAAGGTAAGGTGGGGCGAGGACCGTGTATGAAAATCACCTGCGTCCAAAGTCTTTCCGTCAGTCGTCGGGTTTCTGACTCGTTCTTTCGCTAGAAATCGCGAGGATTATTGGAAACGCAAACACACGACGAGAGGCCGGGTTTCTGTGTCAACCGATGATTTCAACGGGTCGACATTCCAGGCTCGTTGCTCACGGTCGCGTGGTAAAGCCTCAGGTGCGTTTCTTTCTTCGGTGGTGACCAAAAAGGGTACTGTGTCGCGAGTTGATCGTGATTCCAGGGCTCGAAGGTATTAAAGGGATATACCGTGTTACGGCCATTTGGGGGTTGAGATCTGATAAACCATCGACGCTGGAGGCGAAATTTTCGAACGATCGAGTGAATATTACCTTCACGGACTGTTTCCTCGACGACTGATCGGCAAATTGAGCGTGAACCACTTCTAAGAACCGCGGAGCGAAAAACTTGACCGATTAAATTTCACACTTACCTTCGGGCTGGTTGAAGATCGGTTTTTGGTGTGCAATCTACAGGTAGAGTTGGGTCTTGAATAACGAGTAAAAGATAAAAAAATAGATTGTTTTCAATCGATTACACGTGGAAATTATTAATATTATAATATTTCTTCTTGAACGACTAATCGTTACTTAATCTCCGTAACTGTTGGTAGCAATCTTAGATACTGCTGATGTTCGCTGTGTATTTTTCGAATAAAATTGTGCCGAATTCTGTCTACAAGGTGGATTGATAAATCTCGAGTACATTCACCGTCTATCTACTTATCACGTATCGGTTACACTAGCCTGATGTAATATCAAGTGTACACAACTATTTCTTGTAATTATGATACGATACATTTTAAATTATAAGTATTTCTTCGATTTTTCACTGGATGAAAATAGTACAGTATGTTGGAATATAAACGAAAGAGTATATTTAAAAAAAAAACGAATACAGATTTCGTTAAGAAAAAAAGTGGACGACTTATTGGTTTACTGTCACCGTAATGTTTCGTCTCTTAGTCATAATTTCAACTAGTTCCAGTCGGATCGAGTACACCGCTCGTTCCCACCAGATATCAATATTTTCCATGCATATTTTGTTGTTCGCTCCGATTGAATCTCTGTCGGAGCAGAAAAAATAGGGTTGCTCTGA